AGTGATCCCGCTGCACATGGCATTTTGAGGGGGCTCAGAGGGGGATCCTGGCTCCCGGCTGGACCGGGGGGCTCCAACCCACCCCCCCAGCACCCCCAGGGACCCGTTACGGGACCCCGCTCCCCTCATCTTTCCCTCCTTAATTTCAACAACAGTTTAAAAAAAAAAAAAACCCAACCCAAAACACCCCAATTTACCCTTTTTTCTCCCCAGATTTTCCCAGGCGGAAGCGGCGCGGGGTTTTCTCAGTTATAACTCAACCAACTGCCCCAAAAATGGGGAAATCTCATCTTTAGTGGAGATTTGACAGTTTCTGCCCAGCATCCCCAATTTTGCCCCCTTTCTGCAGTATCTGGGCAGAAAAAAATCTATTTAAAGCCATTAGTGATGATTTTTTACCTTTTTCCCAGGAATTACAAGTGAGGACAGAGGCAGCTTTTCACTCTGCGACGTTCCCAGCCCAGTGGAGCGATGCGGCCGATGCTTTTCTGTAAAAAAAAAAAACAAAACCAAAAAAGCAAAAAATCCCACCAAATTATTAACCCGCCGGCGGGATTGCTCATTCTGCTGCTGCAGGGAGCCAATTCCCAAACCCCAGGTGGGAGCAGGAGGGGGTAGGGGGTAAACCCCCAATTTGGGGGTCATTATATCCCTAATTCTGGGGTAATTATCCCCAAATTCTGGGGTCATTAAATCCCTAATTCAGGAGTAATTAGCCCCAAATTCTGGGGTCAGGATCCCAAATTCTGGAATAATTCAATTCCTAATTCTGGGGTAATTAGTCCCAAATTCTGGGGTCATCATCCCCCAGTTCTGGCAAAATTAAACCCCCAATCCTGGGGTAATTAGCCCCAAATTCTGGGGCCATCCCCCAATTCTGAGGCCATTAAATCCCTAATTTTGGGGCCGTGACCCCATTTCTGGAGTAATTAAATCCCTAATTCTGGGTTCATTAATTCTCTAGTTTGGGAGTCAGGATCCCCCAATTCTGCAGTAATTAGCCCCAAATTCTGGGGCCACGATCCCCCAATTCTT